TTTTTAAATAATTCTTTTAATAAATCTCTTTAATAGCACCTCCGTATTTTTAATAAGTATTGTTAAGAGATATTACTTTAATGATGACTGGTGAAAATGAACGTGGACTTCTGGATGATGTTCTCTCAAAGGTATATAGCTGAAAGAAGTAGAAAATTTTGTATTGCAGATGAAAAATAATACAATTATACTACATGCAATAGAAATTTGTTCTGTTGAAAATGAATAGTTGTAACAGATAGAGTACTTGAAATTTTATTAACAAGTTGGTCTTTTAATATTGGTATAATGAATATAATTAATATTAAGCCTAAATCATTTTTTTAAGGGAATACAACGTAATGAAGAACAACGTAAGATATGGGCAAACTATCGGCAAGGTCATGAGAAAGTTGCAGAGGCGTTACTTACATTTCGAAAAGATTTATCGGTAAATTGTATGGTACCGATAGGGAGAGGAGCATTGATGAAAGGAAAGTTAATTCATACTAATGAAGTGCTCGCTTGTCTTGGTGATGGATATTTTGCCAAGTACAGTGCCGAAGGTGCAACAGCACTTTGTGAAAGAAGAATAAAACGTATGTTTGCTCATATACAAATTTACATAAAAATGTGATCATGGATATTTATTAATTATTCTGTATTATTAGATGCTGAAGAAATGTTAAAAAATTTAAGCGGTGAAAGAGACTTGTACGAGACCAGAATAATGGCACTAGAGAATGATCTTTTCGGAGATTGTGCTGGTAGTGAAATTGTAGAACACTGGAACGAGGAGAAAATTGAGGAATGGAAAGGTAATTTCTCGTATTTTATTAAAATTTTGAGCAAAATATTATAAAATCATTTTAATTTCTTTTTTGCAGTGAAACATAGAGAGAGGGAGAAGGAATACCATCAGAAATTAGCTAAACTTAAACAAGACGAAAAACCGAAAATTGAAACAGAGGAGGATCTGTTTCACAGACTTGATCAGCTTGAACTAGAAGAGGAGTTAGCAGACGAATTTAATAGGTGTATTTCTCGTCATTATTATTTTGATTATTTTTGCCCATATTAATATTAAAATACTCGTACTACTTACTATTTTCATATAAAATATAATATGACTTACAGATTGGAAGGTGAACACTATGAACTTTTTGGGGAAGAGTTAGAAGAATATTCCTATGAATCAGGGAGTTCATCTGAAAGTGAGGAAGATGATTCTGAAGAAGAGAGTCAACAGAACAAAAAAGAAGTAAAAGGGAAGCAGCAGGACAAGCAGGAAGAAAAAGAGAAACAATATAGCAAGGAAGAAGAAAAAAAGAAGCAACAGGAGAAAAAGGAAGGAAAAGAGAAGCAACAGGTCAAGAAAGAAGGAAAAGAGAAGCAACAGGACAAGAAGGACGAAGAAGAGCAGCAATTAAAAAATAAAAACGGAAAAGAAAAACAGCTAAAAGAAGAAGAAAAGGAAACGCCATTGAAGAATGAAGAAAAGTTTAAAGAGCAAGTTAAAATTGAAGCTATGAAGGTTAAAAAGTGTGTCTCATTTGCAAAACTAGATCATGTAAATAAACAGAATGTTGAGCAATCAACAGAGAAGGAAGAAGTCTCAGAGGAAGATATTCTTCGCATAGAGTTTAGTCATTCTAAGAACATTCCAGTCACAAGGTCGGAAAGGGATTCAATTGAAACACCAGCAGACATTTACAGAATATACTCGAAGCCTAAATCGATTTTAAAAAGATCTCCGAATGATATACCACCTATTCGGGATCCTCCACCAGATTATAGCACAGAGGAAGAAGAAGATGTGTATGAACATATCGACAAGCCTTCTACATATGAATCAGTAAGTATTTGACATTAGTTTTTTCATTGTAGCATTAACTTTACACTAAGTCACTCTTCTTAACGTGACTTTTCAATTTTCAGGTTGTAAGAGATATTAAGGAAAGAGATACAACGATAACAGTAGAAAATGTTCCAAATACAGGAAAAGAAACTCGTCCGATTAGCAAATTCAAACGAGATCGCCAGCTGAAGAGATAAAGAATAGTGTTCTCAATGCAATTAAAATAAATAAAGAACTGTTTGTAATAAGACTCTTCCTTTTATTCTATTCCTGTTTCTAGCATGATGTGTGAAGAATTTAGAAGAACAGACAAGTCGTAGGATGAATGCCTCTAAGAGCAATTTACGATGGTACTATAATGAAGTGTTACTGTAATAATAGACTGCGACCGAGGCAATCTTTATGAACGGTCAATGGGATGTTAATTCATTCAGTTCCAATTACTGTAATTTTATTGATTGGCCAGTGTTTATATAACTCTCGAGGCATTGACATCAGATATTTTCTTATGACAACTGGAAACGTATTCGCACAATTCAATTTTATTCTAAGAAGTATATTTATTTCACACATAAGTATTTAAAACTAGTAAATTATACAATTTATTTATTGAGATTATATAATTGATTATATTACAGTTGACTTAATATTGGCATTATTTTCTTGTCGGATTGTTTGACGGCCGTCAGTCATTTTACTGCAATAGTAATTGACGCCGACTGAGGAAGAGAGGAAAATAATCTCGCTCTCGAGGTTCCTGATATTGCGAAAGGTTTCATACACGTTATTAGCTCGAAGATGAACCGAAGGTATTGTCTCGGAAAAATTTGTACCACGGAAGAAGACCGACGGCAATATGAATACACGGGGACAGCTAAGTATCATCCGTTATAATGGTTTTCGTCATCCTAATAAGGAAGAGCAATTGAGTTGTTTTGAATCGTTCCTGGAAACCGAGAAAGATGATAACTGGAATTTATCAAAATTACAGTCGCACTTCCACACGATTTCACGCTGCTATTATTTTATATATCATCTCTCCTTTTTAATGGTGACTGTGGAAATTTATGACTGAAGTTTCTACAATTTTTCTAAAAATAAAGATATTAATAAAATAATATAATTTTCTATTTTTTACATAAAACAGTTCTTTTGTTATTTTGTTGTGACTGAAGTTTTTACAATTTTTCTAAAAATAAAGATACATTAAATTGCAAATTATAGAAGTATAAAAGAAAGTTCGAATAAAAAACAATTGAATCTTTTGGCGACAGCGGGTCTCGAACTCTGGGCACTTTTCTAAGAGTCATTGAACTAATCATAGAAGCCAATGCAATTATAGCGAATATTTGTATGCAGACAGGTACAATTATATAATGTTTTCTATTTTTTAGATAAAACAGTTCTTTTGTTATTTCGTCATGATTGAAGTTTCTACAATTTTTCTAAAAATAAAGATACATTAAATTGCAAACTATAGAAGTATGAAAGAAAGTTTGAATAAAAAACAATTGAATCTTTTGGCGACAGCGGGTTTCAAACACTGGTCACTTTTGCAAGAGTCATTGAACTGATCACAGAATCCAATGCAATTATAGCGAACGTATGTATGCAGACATGTATAATTAGATAACGTTTTTCTATTTTCCAGATGAAAGAGTTCTTTTGTTATCCGCTCGGATATATCATTCATTCGCTTGGAACGTATCCATCTTCTGGCGTAAGTTAGGCGAATTCATCCCCTTCACCGGTCGACACGCAGGATTCTGATTGCGCAACGTTCCGCGTATCAAACGATCTCAAAATCCTTGATTCACTTTCGATCCTCGATAATCGTCCGGTGTCAAAGGTGGCGAAATAATAGACATTTTCTTAGGCGATGCCTATTCTTTAATTCATTATTCACCGCGCGTCGTTTCATAACGAGCCCGGGAGAAGAAAGATCACTGAAATTCCCTGTACGACCATTGCACAATATCGAAATGAATTTAGAGCATCCTCCTTTGAAGCCATAACGACCTTGTCCATCATGCTCGCTCGAGGAAGATTATCGGGATAGAAAGAGAGAGCTCGCCTCGCAGATCTGTTCGACCATCAAGAAAGTAGAGTAAGATCCATTGTGCAACGCCTTTTGCTATTTTGTCCGATAAATAAACGACTCTCGTTCCGCTCATCCCTCTATTAGCGTTTACTCCGACGCCTGTGCTGGTCGTTAGAATAATTAATGTTTGCGAATGATTTTGTAACGTTCCGACCCGTTTGGATATTACCGGCAAGCTTGATTTCTTCGTAGTTAGACTGCCGAGATTTATGCGAATTAGATCGGCACGGAAGAAATATTTCAGAGACCACGCAAAACACAACACAGAATGTGGTAAATATTTAGAAATTCGAAAGCGAAAGAGATGAGGTCTGAAAGTGAGTTTGAATTGTTCTATACCGAATGCAATGTAGTTTGTCCCTAGGCGCGACACGCTCCGGCAAGACTGTGCCAAATACAGTAATTTCTCCCTAATTCGCACTCAGATTGCGCACAAAAATGGACAATTTTTGAAGAGGAGACACGAACCTTGACAATCGGTAACTATTTATTTATTATGTTTTATTAAATTACTGTATTATAAACTATTTCTAAAATAATTATGTATGTAGTATTTCTAAAATACTATGTGTTCAACCATTCAGAACTTCGAGCAAATATAGAGCGAAACAGAGAACGGATGACGAAAGGAAGNCACAGAATCCAATGCAATTATAGCGAACGTATGTATGCAGACATGTATAATTAGATAACGTTTTTCTATTTTCCAGATGAAAGAGTTCTTTTGTTATCCGCTCGGATATATCATTCATTCGCTTGGAACGTATCCATCTTCTGGCGTAAGTTAGGCGAATTCATCCCCTTCACCGGTCGACACGCAGGATTCTGATTGCGCAACGTTCCGCGTATCAAACGATCTCAAAATCCTTGATTCACTTTCGATCCTCGATAATCGTCCGGTGTCAAAGGTGGCGAAATAATAGACATTTTCTTAGGCGATGCCTATTCTTTAATTCATTATTCACCGCGCGTCGTTTCATAACGAGCCCGGGAGAAGAAAGATCACTGAAATTCCCTGTACGACCATTGCACAATATCGAAATGAATTTAGAGCATCCTCCTTTGAAGCCATAACGACCTTGTCCATCATGCTCGCTCGAGGAAGATTATCGGGATAGAAAGAGAGAGCTCGCCTCGCAGATCTGTTCGACCATCAAGAAAGTAGAGTAAGATCCATTGTGCAACGCCTTTTGCTATTTTGTCCGATAAATAAACGACTCTCGTTCCGCTCATCCCTCTATTAGCGTTTACTCCGACGCCTGTGCTGGTCGTTAGAATAATTAATGTTTGCGAATGATTTTGTAACGTTCCGACCCGTTTGGATATTACCGGCAAGCTTGATTTCTTCGTAGTTAGACTGCCGAGATTTATGCGAATTAGATCGGCACGGAAGAAATATTTCAGAGACCACGCAAAACACAACACAGAATGTGGTAAATATTTAGAAATTCGAAAGCGAAAGAGATGAGGTCTGAAAGTGAGTTTGAATTGTTCTATACCGAATGCAATGTAGTTTGTCCCTAGGCGCGACACGCTCCGGCAAGACTGTGCCAAATACAGTAATTTCTCCCTAATTCGCACTCAGATTGCGCACAAAAATGGACAATTTTTGAAGAGGAGACACGAACCTTGACAATCGGTAACTATTTATTTATTATGTTTTATTAAATTACTGTATTATAAACTATTTCTAAAATAATTATGTATGTAGTATTTCTAAAATACTATGTGTTCAACCATTCAGAACTTCGAGCAAATATAGAGCGAAACAGAGAACGGATGACGAAAGGAAGAAAGCTCGGGGAACCAGCAGACTTTTCAGCAAATTTTCGAACAATGGCCCGGAACTGTTGCCGAAAACCGGCGCGTTAGCCTAAGTTAATTAAGTGTATCTTCGAACGGGTAGCACGAATTTATTGCTACGCAATGGCTTCCTTTCCGTTGACGTAATGGCGAACAACGGGGGGAAAGGTTACGAAAGGAATCGAAAGTGAGAATTCGCACAGTAAATAAACAATAAACCTGTCCTGATTAGGTTCCGTTTGGCTCATTGATCGGGAGATTAGATCGATCCCGTGATTACGGGCCCATTGTCGTAAACGAGATCAACGATTATTAATCTTGTTGCGTCTCCCGGTTTGGAGACAAGTCCTAGGACAAGTCCTAGGGAATGCTCGTTTTACCGTGAATACGCCAGGCTAATTAGATGAGGCAAATTACACGGCAAATTATACATCTCCTGTGCTTTTATTAGGGCAATATATCCTAGGAGTTCGGGCTTGGCTCCTGACGGCTGCAAGTTCATCGAAGCATTTTTCCGACTTCTATCCCGACAGAATACTTAATAATTAACGTTCATCATTAGACTTCCTAATTGCTGCTCCATTCACCCGGTTTCTTATACGATTATTAATTGGATCCTGGAGCACTCGAAAGTGAATCCTCAATTTAAACGTTCCTGCAATTAAAAGTTTCATGGATATAAATTACAAGTTGCGCACTTTCCAGGTTCTGAAGTTTAAAAGATAAATTAGAAAATCAGACCGGTTACAGTATTCGATGTCCAGACCTACAAAACAATTATTATGCGTTGGAATTATTCAGATTGTCCAGCGGTGATTTTGCAGCGGTTTGTCGGAGAGCAATTTTTGGCGTCTGAAAGGAAATCGGTTATGACAGTTGCGTCTCAGAGAGGAAGAGACCAGTCAAATTGCGAAACACGATTACAATACCGTTGGTTTCAGCGCAATGACAAAGCTAAACGCAATTTTATCGCGATTCGTATGCGTGTTACTTTCTAAATTACTGCGTGCCGATCTCATCGGATCCGATTCTCGTTTGGATTACACATTGTGTTCGGCTTGTCATCGTGTACTATTGCACGAGCATATATTTGTAAAGGAATCCGAGAGGAAGAATCTTTTTCGGGGATCAATATTCTTCAATTCGATCCGCAATATTAATTGCATAATGTGTTTAAAAAAGAAAAAGCTATAATATGATAGATTACGGTGATTCGAAAATTGTGCACAGAAAATTTCCATCTGTGTTTCTTCGTTTCAAAGTGTCTAAGGAGCTTTGAAGGTGTCGGTAGAAAAATAAATAGACTTGTTTTATGCTGACAGACACCTTAATAAGTTTCATTAACAAGACCATCCGGATCAGATCATGTCAGCATAACCTAGACCTAGCACTGTGTAACATATGCGCATTCCACAACTCAATTGCATCCACGGTGGCACAATACGTCCAATTTACCAAACACGGGCAAACCATGCATCAAACAACCTCGTCATCCTCTCTCGCCAATCAACAGTTTGCTTCACGAGCTTCACTTCACTTTATATCTTCATTCCCGAAGTGATTTTCATACGATTCCTGAATTTTAAACTGAGATTTCCACTGAAAAACATTATAGAATAATTATTTTTTGACGATATACAAATATAGCATATTTTTTTATTTATTTAACAGCTTCTTTCCTCTACCAGTTTTTTTTAAACTTAATTAATATAATTTCTGAAGATTTTAAAAATTGTTTATTCGATATCTTTTGGGAGCTAGATAAAATTCAAACTATGTAGAAAAGATGCTTCTTATTAATTTGTAAAGAGTTTATATGTGTGTGGATACATAATGATCAATATCTTTTAACATTTTTATAGTTAAATTTTTGTCTTTATCTAGTAAAAAATGTCGGTTCTAAAAACAAAAATACCAGCTGTTCAATGTACATAGGATTTTAATTTTTGATTAAATTTTCTATTTTTGAAGTGTAGGATTGATAAGGCAGAAGATCTTTTTACCGACCATATGAAACCACAATTAGTATTTTGAAATAAACGTTGTTTATCTTGTAAGAATATTTCCGATAGATATTACACATTGACACCGATGATGTATTCTACGAAGAACGCAAACACAACAATTTGTCAACTCGTGATCAAAACATGATATTACTGAGATGTATTTTTCAACCCCATATGGTTCGCGGAACGCTAAAGGGTTGACAACCCGATCAACACGATCAGCCGATAAAACAGGAACATTGATCTCAACATCGATCACAGAAAGTTAATCTCGATTTAAGTAATGAAAATATATAAACAATTACATAGTATTAGCGTTAAATTAGCACACAAAAAGTATTTTACCAATAAATCCTATCGCTCATACTGCTCGTTATATGTACAGTTATTTAAGCTATCTGCTGATGCAGTGCCACAAAATCAGCCACTCTCATGCACCGGTGTAACATTGAATCCTTAATTAGTATATTGGGGTCACGAGTGATCCTAACATTGTATCTTTATTTCATTTTTTAGTATATATAAAAGATTAATTTCCTAAAAAACTATTTTTTAACCTGCTAACGTTAAAAAAATCAACAAAAATCGATATTTCAACTTTAAAATACTGTCTTTTTTTTAATTATCAACTTCTTGCTTCTTCTGTGATACCTGCGACAGCTAAGCGCATTCTGATTAAGGATCTTCCTCGTTTTTGTTCCAGATATGTATGTAAAACGATTGGAATCGTTCATAAATATAGATGCAAAATAACTTTTACATTGTTACCGATATCCAAACGAAAACTTAACAGAACGTCATATTTGTGTATTTCTATTTTCTATTATTTCTAATATTGAAATATACAGATGCGATGCTTTGTTATATTATAAGGAGACCACCTAAATTATATTATTATAAATAATATATATTATAGTATTATAATATAGTATTTTATTATAGTATTATTGTAGTATTATGTAGTATTTTATATAGTATTATTATAGTATTATATTATAGTATTATAATATAGTATTATAATTATAAATAATTATAGATTCAAAGTAACTTTCACACATTTTCACTGATATTTGAACAAAAACAAAAACAAAAGAAAAAAAAACTATAATTGTATACTACTATCTTCTATTATCTTTATAATATAGAAATACACAAATAGAATCTCCTGTTAAGTTTTTGTAGTGTCCTTATAAAAAAAAATACAAAGAAAGAATAAAAAACGTGATTTACGCTAGAACATCCCCCTTAAGTCCGACAAGGGGACTACCGTGAAGGAAGCAAGTCCGAATGATTCGTGATGATTTGAATGGAGCTGAAACCGACCGGGTCCTTGCAGAAGTGGATTGCCACACGTTTATTTTCGTACAGGAGGTGCCGGTGAACCATGCAGGATTACGCTAGCTAGGTACCCGGGGTGGCAGGGGCTGGACAATGGTCCTGGCTTAATTAAGGCTCAATTGGCTAATTAGTCGGCTCGAAAAGCGAGCGGCTCGGCGTCGGCGTCGGCGTCGGCTGGCAGGGCAGCAGTGGAGCTGGCCCGGTGGTGGTCCCACGCGGTGAAGTAACCAACTTTCTCCGCTCTGGAAGAGGCGCGCGTTCCTCTCATACGCGCGCCAAGAAGCGCCGCGCCGCGCGCCGGCCCCGAAATCGCACATAACCTGGCTGCCTAGAACAATGGGAAATAAAGCGCGGGCTTTCCTCACGCTTCGCGTCCCGAACTATGTGAACTGGAGTAAACCAAAGGAGCCCGATGCCGGCGGGAGAGAGAGAGAAAGACGACGGAGCTGTTTTATCCGGCTGGGGATCCACGAGGAGGATCCTCCTTCCAGCATGATCGCGGGGGCCTGTTCACGGCGAATCCGTGCCCGACAGGAAATGAATCTTTGTAGGCGTAGCCGGTCTCTCTATATAAGTTAGCCGGGACCCGGCGAAACGTCACCATAATATTCAGCATTTCGTATCAACGGTGCTCTCTCGGTTCGCTCTAAGTATGGACAGGATAGTGCGACAGGTAAACTGGATATAACCATAAACGATAGTGACGAGAGGATCGATGCTTGGACACGTTCGGTGACCGCTTCCGCTTCCGGTTCGGGCCTGTGCCGGTTGGTGGTTCGCGAGCTAGTGACGTCACAGCCCCTGGCCATTCGATTAGGATCATTATTTCGTAGTATTCTCTTCGTATGCCTTTGAATATTGCCGATTCTCTCTAATATTTTTGTTACGTCGTGGTGATCGGTGGTGTTTAGGCTACGGTTTTTCTGTGAAATGTAAGACTGTAGGTTATGTTATGATCAGATGGTTTCACGAACGTTGTATTTTTCTGTTCATGCACTAAAGTTAACGGAAAGATCAACGAGCTTTTCGGTTCAATTTTTCAATTTTCAGTTTTTCATGATGATCCGCGGTTTAGTGGTGTGCAAACAAGTGAGATTTATTATGCTGTAGTTTAGTAGACTGTAATTAGTAGACTGTGAATCTTTATACAAATTGAAAGCAAGAAATAGAATAGATGCAAATGAAAACTTACTTTTTCCTTAATAATTTCGATGAGTTAATTACGTCTTCGATTCTTCTGCAATTCTTTTTTACCGTTTTGTGCTTCGCTTGCACATTTTTCCGAATAATCAAATTAATCGACATAGAACTGAACCGATGATAATAGATAATTATTTCACAGTGTGTAATATCTCAATTTAGGCAGCCGATTCGCCATATATAGTAGTGTTTTAGCTAGAAAAAATAAAACGTTATTGTATGGTCCTAATTCAATGGTCAGGTATGTATGTCTACTTAACATCTATTAACACAAGAATTATTATGCTTTGGGGGTGTGGAGTGATTTCAGTTAGCTAGCATAGAGAGGATTTGATTCTTCTAACTTCTGCTATCAGTTCTATCAACTCGGTGACTCATAAATCATTACTGTTATTAGTATTATTACTAAACAGTAATAATAAAACCATTATTACTATTTTTATTATTACTATTATTACTACTGTTATTCGCGCAAAGTAGATGCAACTAATCACTGCTTCATTGTTAATACGCCATTAGTTTTTAACATAACATGTTTTAGTTCCAATTACCCACTCTGTAAATTTATCTCGTTCCACTTTGTCGAACGTACATGCTTTGCATAGTTGTATTAATAAGAAAACTAGTATTAATAGTTCATAAAATCGTTTGTACACAGTTGTAATCAAATGACGAGCACTCTAACAAGCAATAATTTACCGAGGTATTAACGTTTAATCTATTCTTAATTTGTTAATTATTTCCATTATTGAAATCACAGGATACGAGCAAATATTTCAACGGTGATTTCTCAAATGTAACGATATATCTTCTCTCGGCCGCTAATGATTCCCTTCAGGGTAAAGTGCATTATAATCTTTCCGAGTTTGTACTTATACCGATTATCAACCCAGCTTCACTTTCACATGGTTATTCGCGTCCCGACGTTTTTGCGTCCCTCCGTCGGCCGGGAAAAAAATGCCGGATGCCAAAGGTCGAACTGCGAAATTCGATTTTACCACGTTTCTGTAATTAACTACGAACTAATGCACGCCGCTAATGCGTCATTAAACAGAATCAACCGCCATGAAATGTTAAATTACCTATCAAGCTGTGTAATCAGCTAATTGATCCTTCCTCGGAATAGAAAACTCGTTTAACGCTCGGAGTTCATCAGAGAAATTCCTAAAATTCGTTAAAACATCACCATCAAACAATCGAAATGTGATCAATTTTATTGTTTTATTATTACACATTTTATGATGATGATATTCGCGGAAGCAATATAATATTTTGCAATATCGCAATTTCACGCGCGCTAAGAAGTTATGTGGTCATTTAATTAGGATACTTTTTCTTCGGTGATTTGTTTTATTTCTGGAATGTGCAACAATGATGTCGATTTTCTTCATTGCTCCTAGAAATGAAGAAACAGAATCGACCACATTTCCTTGCCCAAGTGCGCCACTGCACTTTGCTGTTGCTGCACTTGCAGTCTGAAGTGGAAGTGCAAGATGCAATGTCTCCGGACCGTTCTCTAAGGTCTCTTCCATCATTTGCCTAACCGCAACCGTTGTGAATCTCCTTTAGAAGTCCTCAGCGTGCCGGACTGCCCCAGAACTGGTAAAACAGTCGGAGAGAATTGCATCATACGCTCGGTGAACGCGCTTCACATGGTGAACGCATTCTTCGGATCGTTAGAATTTTTTTAATTAAATACAATTTCCTCGTATCAATTGAATCAAATTTTCAATTTTGAAATTTCAATCGTGTTGCATTGTTACCGTTTTCAATTATAATCCATATCGATTAATTTTTTCATTTTGTGTTAATTTCAATTAAACGGAATCTCAAAATTCGGTTACATTAATTTATAACTAATTTTGTATTGCTGCGTGCGATGGGGGCATTCTGGAAGAAATTGTAGCGATTCGTATCGTATTCGTTTTCAATAAAAATGACGATATTTCAATGGCATCAACATAATTCGTTCTTTCCGAAATCAGTGTTGCGACAAAATTATTTCCGAGGATATGAGACAAACAAATGATTTTATAACGAGTTTTTCCGAAAGTAGTTCTGCCCGACGAAAAAATAAATAAACGAGTCGTTGATGTGTAACTCTCTTAACGTCCTCGCGCATTGCAGTTGACAAAATTATTTCCAAGAAAAAGATAGAACTAACGAGTCTATAATGCATGCTCGTGGACTCCGCCCCCCACCCCGATAGCATAATTTCCGATAAAAAGGAAAATAGGCAAACGAGTTTCTAACCCATATTTCTTAATGTCCCTATGCATTGCAAAATTGTTTGCAACCGAAGCAAGTACAGAGATCTTCAAAAAATGGTCATCTCTTTACAACATTTCTCACATTATTTGCAACAATTAACATTTGCGAGAAGAAACATTCTTTCCTACATTTTTTATTTTTTTTGTAGTTACTGATTATAGTCTCTAATTATTTTACTGTTTATTTTACTACTTACTGTACTAATTATGTTACTATTTATTTTCCAATTTATCGTATTAATTATTTCACTGTTTACTTTGTCACGTATCGTACTAATTATGTTACTGTTTATCTTGCAATTTATTATATTAATTATTTTAGTGTTTACTTTGTCACTTATCCTACTAATTATGTTACTGTTTATCTTGCAATTTATTATATTAGTCATTTCATTGTTCAATGAACATTAACCAACTAAATTGCCATTTCAAACGAAGGAAGAGAAGAAACATTCTTCTCTACATTTTTTTTTTAAGTACATATATCTATCGTATTCGACTCTGATGCAGTAAGTGAACAGAATGCGCTCGTCGCAGTAGTGCAATCGATGGAAAATCGTCGCATACCCAGTGAACTCGTAGAAAATCGTCTGCTTCCTAATTATCTCTCTGTCCTCCTCGTTTTTCTCTCGGGTGTACGTTCAACCGGCGTTTCCAGGTGCACCGCGATGATGCACGGTTCATTTGTCGGCGCGGCGTGCACAGTAAGCCGTCGCATTTCATTATGTAAGTGCACTTGGTCCCGTGTAATCATCTCCGTTAATGCAGTACAAGGGACGCGCGGTTTACACGGGAATATAAATAACAACATAAGCATTTCGCAAGCTGCGGACCGTAGGCCGCCTGTGTACGTGCAACCATTCTAACATCATCGTGTTAAATGACATAATGCACACGCTTCGGTATTCGCGTGTTACGAAAATTACTACGTATTTGAACGGGTGCAAGCCTGGTCTGCGCCTCCGTGCCCGCTTTCAACGTTCTTCGCGGGATATTTCTTCATCTCGCGCCGCTATTTTCGATCCCCCATCTTCGAATATTCGTATTAAACTCCTAAATATTTCACACGAAGTTGTTACACGTGTTCTCCCTCTTTGGAAATTTACATCGTTCAAGTTTCAGCTTCGAATCTCGACATTTCTTCATTGCCCGACGCTGTTTCGGACGACTTCTTGGACCTTTTTATCTTAAAATATTTATAACCAAGTTCGAAGATTTAACGACAAATTGTCATACATATTTTCTGCCTTTGGAATTTTATACCATTCGATTCTGAATTTTTAACTAATCTTGAGATTTATTTATTGTTGTTGTTGTTATTGATCCTTTTTACAATCTTCAAATGCTCATATTAATCTTAAAATATTTAATTCAATGTTGTCTGTCTGTGGAATTCGACATTATTCGATTCGTAACATTTATCAAGTTGAAAGTTATTCTTTCAATCGACGCCATTTTGGATCACATGTTAACTTCTTCTGTCTCCAAATACTCACGATAAATTTTACAGAAATTGTTAAGCATAGTTTCTGTTTCTAGAATGTTACATGATTCAATTTATTAATATTTAACTCATCTGCGAATTTTTTCGTTTCTCGCCGCTATCTTGGATCCAAAATTCAGTTCTTTAATTTCCAAAATCTACAATAAATTTCAAAGATCTCATGCAAGTTTGTTATACTATATTACTTTATATATGTTATATGTTATACTATATTATTATTATACTTCTATGTACTATACTATAGTTAATTGTTCCCCAAATTTTGATGTTTTTATTGCTACCGATTTCAAGAAAATTTTCATTGTTGAATATCTGAACCAGATCATAATGTATTTTTCCACCTGGAATCTCTAATTTCTGTAAGAAAATACAGCCATAACCGTTTGCTATTCCAGCAGCCTTAGCCAGCGACCGCCGCGTTGCATACGAAATGCATAACATATGTGGGCTAATTGTCTTTCAATTAGTAACTAATAACGCCGGCGGCGCGTTCCGAATGCATGCTAGTTAATTATGCTCTCATAATTAGTGGCCTAAAAAGGCAGCTCCGTGCCACGTTATCCTTTGTCGCGGTAATGAACAATGGTACCCTTCGCTGCATAAATCATTGTCAAAATCTCGATCTCCCATTTTCGATCGTGCTTTCTTGCAATCTATGCATCTCTGCTTTCTACACAAATAATTTTGCATTGCTTGCATATCCTTGTTGAAAGATTCCTCTTCCTCTATGCGCGTAAGAGCGGTCTCTCACATCCTGATAGACAGACGGAAGCTATCTACGATTTCTCGTTTGATAAAATTTCCAATTTTAGGGTTACGCGACTATTATACTGCTTGCGTAACAATTATCTCAAGAATTTACGGGTTTTACGAGAATTTACGATCTCAAGAATTTGCAAGTTTATTTGCGTAATTAGTTGTTTATTTCTTTATTTGCCTTACTATTTTAATGCTTTATATTGTATTAAATATTTCACTGGTTATTTTACTAATTATTTTACCGATTGCTTTGTTACTTACTGAACTAATTCTTTCAGTCGTTATTTTGCTAATTATTTTACTACTTATTGCACTGTTTATTTTATTACTTACCGCACTAATGATTTTACTGTTTATTTTACTACTTACTGTATCAATTATGTTACTCTTCATTTTGCAATTTATCGTATTATTTATCTCACTGTTTACCCTGTTATTTAGTGTACTAATTGCTTTACACTTTCATAGCTACTTATTTTACTAACTGTTTTACCACTTATTCTATCAACAATTTTACCAATCGATTTACTGAGCAATGATACCAATATCAACAATCTTTACTAAATTGTATTTAATCAGTGCTTGTAGTTACTCGACAGAAAATGTTTTTCGTCTATCGTGTAGAATGTTTAACGTAACAGGAACAATTACACGGCGGAAACAGCTGGAACAGCGTTAACCGCTCCGATGAAAATTCATTTATGTTAATGGTAGAAAAAACAGGAGACATTTATACTTATCTTTGAAAAGTGTGAAACAACCGTAGAATCTCTCTGTTTGAGTAATTAACAGCGGGGCTGCGTGTTTTAACGATGCAACAGGTAGATCGTTGTGCAAGATAACGACACTGAGAATTACTCGAGTTAAAATATTAAATCGCATTACATATCAATTGCATAGACATGTTCTGCACCTTCCATTTGTTCCGAATCTATTTCTATTTATATCGATTTTGCATGCACAAAATTAAGCAATTAGCTAACACAGTTATATTAAGTATTGTATTTAATCGAGTCCTAGTTTTCGGAAAAGCGATCTACATTCGGGAATATTTACCATTGTGCAATTCAATTAAATGCAACACAAAAGAATGACTTATTCATGGCTGAAAGCCTGTCTCCATTTTAGTACGTCTTCTTTCCGTTCTCTATATTTAGGTGTCTTTCGCTGTGCTGGTGTATTATCAAAATTAATCAGATCCTTAATTAATTTTGATAATTAAATATCTATACTGAAAGGCAGCGAAATTTTCGCATAAAATTAATCATCGCAAATTAATGTCGTGCATTTTTATATAGTAATATTAAAGAAATGATAGCAAATATGAAATGTTTGGTATTGAATATCAAATATTAAAAATGTTGAAAGTGAAATATAGAGTATGAAATATTAAACACGAAATATTAAATCATAAATATTAAATACCGAATATTAAATATCAGTTGTTTAATATTAAATACTAAATATTAAATAACGAATATTTAATATCAGTTGCTAAATATTAAATAACGAATATTTCATATCGGTTGTTAAATATTAAATAACGAATATTTAATATCAGTTGTTAAATATTAAATAACGAATATTTAATATTAGTTGTTAAATATTAAATAACGAATATTTAATATCTGTTGTTAAATATTAAATACTAAATATTAAATACCGAATGTTAAATATCAGTTGTTAAATATTGGATACTAAATGTTAATTACTGAATATTAAATATCAGTCATTATA